AAATAAATTATAAATGACACCCCTTCTTTTTCTTTATAATTTACTTAAACCTCTTTACTTTGCTTTAAAATACAATAACTCCCACTTTGTTACTTAATTTCATTAATTTTATGGTAAATTTTATATATATTTTATATTTTTTAGCTAAATTATTAAGTTTTATAATTATTATATATATTTTTTTATTATATGACCGGTCCGACCAGTTGACCCAACGGTTAAACTAGTGAATCATTGACCCGGTCTCCTTGCTGGTTAGATGATCGGTCCAGTTCTGATAACATTGGTTATGAGTAATGTTACACTGACCAAATTTAGAGTCCAAATTACATGGCAGAATATTATTTGGAGTTTTTATTAGGGCCCAAATGACATGATACCAAATAAAGAAGCTCAAGTCAGCTACTATGTCATTTAAGCTCTAAAATTTGGTCAATGTAGCATTACTCTAAAGTTATATGAGATATGAGAGTGTGTGTAAGAGAAATAGATGTAAAAGAAATAAAAATTCAATTACGATCATATAGATATAGATATAGATAGATAGATATAGGATGACATACTTTGACAGAGCTACACATGGGCGAGGGTAGACACGGGCACATCCTCAATTTTTTTTTAAAAAAATATGATATATATATATATATATATATATATATATATATATATATATAGTTATATATTCTAAAAGTTATACACATATATATAATTATTTAGTTTTTTTTATTATAATATGACTTTTTTCAGATGACCTTCATTTTATTATGAATTTTTGCAAGTAAAAGTGCTTTTAATTGATCTTCATTTGATTTTGTTTTTTCTATGAAAAATTATCTTTTATTTTTATTCGATGATTGATTCTAGTTTTTATTATGTGTCAATTGATTTTTAATTTTTTTACTATGTCTCTTAGAATTTAATTCAAAAGTTTTATTATACTAATATTTTAGTGATAATGTTTAAAACATCGTTTATTGAATAAATTTAATAGATTGTTAGTGAATAATTGATATTTTTTAATTATAAAATTAACAATTAGCTTCACTTTTTATATTGGTTATAATTAGTCAATTTTTTTATACATATATAATATTTGGGTAGGATTAGATTACATGAATTTTGATTATATCTAAATCGTATATTTAAGTTTCAATTAAATCTTAGTTGTTCTTCTCTCTTTTTTTTTTAAATTGAGAGTATTAATTTTAATTTTGAAAATTTAAAATTGCCTCTATATTATTAGTGTAGATAGATATATATAGATATACCACTATTTAAGTCAAACTTTACAATAGTTTAAATGGGGATGATGAGAGATAAAAGGAATATAGTAGAGTCTTAATCAATCTCTCCAATGTTTTGAATGGAGATGAGGAAAGATAAAGGGAATGTAGTTGAGTATTGTTAGAATGTAGATTAATTAGGATTGTCAGATCAATAATACTGAATCGATCTGAATTGTCTTTTATGTTGAGATTACGTTGTTTATTGGATGTGTTTATGTATTGTCTCAAAATGATCTGGACCTCTCTTTGTCTTTTGGATTCAAACTTCGTTCTACTTTATTATATAGACTAGTCATTACCCATGTCTAAAGGCACTATGTTACTTATAAAAATTCAACACATAAAGATAATATGTTTGAATAATTTCAACACATAGCGATTAGATTGATTTTGAACATATTTTGTTGGTGCAATTGGTATCTTATTTTTTTTGTATTGGTCACTTATTTTTTTTTAATTGTTGATTAACTTGGGCTTTGAATTTTTTTTTAATTTTCTGAGAACTATAGGTTTTCATACAATAGGGATTTATTTTTGGTATGAATAATAAGTTGATGATTTTATTTATGGATTATAAAGACAATTTAAAGTTCATTGATTGATATGAAGTAAGAAGTAAACATCAATCATCGGTACTAAGATGTATAATAAGAAGATCTATTTACAGTGTACTCTACGTATGAATCAGTTTGTAATAAAAATGATGAAAAATTATATAGTAAGTATATAATAGTTTTTAATGAAATATTATACCAAAAGTTTTAAAAAAATCGATATACTAAATAACTTATGATGATGCACAAAAATAGTTTTGAACACCACCTATCAAGTGTAAATAATAAATGCAGTAAAAGTAAAGAGAGAACTGGAGGAGACAAGATTTATAGTGGTTCGGTCAACTCGACCTACATCTACTCTTGAATGACTTTCGTTGTCAAGTACTTTATTAATTTAAGGGTATGGAGATAGAGAATACAAGCTTCGAGGGAGAATAGAGAATCAAGGAAGGTGTGGTGCTAGGCATTCCAAGTGTTGATGGAGCATGCAATTTATAGTGGTCCCCTAACAGGTTGGGGCTACTTTCCAGCGACTAAGCAACTATTTTGGTGGAGCTCCTGATCTTTTCTCAACGAGCGAGGTGGTTGAGGAGCTCTCCATGAGATGCGGTCAAAGATAGACCGTTTCCTTCGATAGTGCAGACAAAGTTTCTCATGCTCTCCCCCTTGATGATGTGGCTAAGTAAAGAGTTTAACTGGTCTTTGACTATATTGGGTTTGGTGGATTTTTCATGAGGTTGGGCTCCTCAATTGGGGTTGGACTTCTCACATAAATTGGACTATTTGGGCTTGACCCATCAACTTACATGTCCAAAAATGGTGACATTGTTCATTTGGGTACTGGTTTTGTGTTGTAGTGACGGTATATATGCGGTTATTGACGTCAAATGTTAAACTGTCAAACTTCGAAAAAGAAGCACTAAACTTAGAGATATTATGTATTTTAATAGAAATATTTTTAATTTATGCAAAGTTTTATTATAAAATTAGAAATTAAACAAAATCAACATAAATCAATGTATAAACAATACACTTTTAACATATAAGATTTAACAACAATCAGTTAATGATAATACATCTATAACTAAACTACACAAACATTAAAAATTAAAAACAATAAACTATTGTCAAAACATACACTACTAAATCAAACCAAAAAAATAATCAACGATAAACAATAATGGGTACCAGCGAGAATACTTCCGGAGTTAGATCACTGCCAATACTATTTAGATGGAAGAGAGTGGATGGTCGGAGTGTGTAAGTTCAGTGGATTTTCAGATTATATCGTGCGTCGCTGAAGAATGTCTGTCATTTGTTGGAGTCTACACAGAGAGATGAGAGACTAAGGAAGACGACAATAATTTCTGAGAAACTAAGAGAAGTGAGACGGTTAATGGAGGAGAGAGAAAAAGTTTGAGCTGTGTGTTAAACAAACTGAGTAACATTTGGGTGCAGTTAAATTGGGTGGGATTCAGGGGAAGAGCCACCCTTGGACTAGGGTGGGCATGTGCCACCCTAATTTTTTTTTTTTTGATATTAGATATATATTTTTTTAAAATTAAATTTAGATATATTTAATTGTGCCCACCATTAATTTTTTTTGCAATAAATTTATATTTTTTAAAATAAAAATTAGACATATTTAATTGTGTTCATCTTATTGTTGTATTATTGTGATATCGATTAAGATAGACGACTACTTAAATAATAATTAATTTTTAAATAATGTTCTTGGAACTAATATATTATAATATTAAATCTAATAGCAAGTCCCTACATTTAATGACGTCTATTATCCATCTAATGGTCACAAACCATTGGGTTTCTACCAATTAAATTTAAAAATTTTTTTTGTCAAAATATAAAATTAAATTTCGAATTAGATGCAATTACTATTATTCTTAAATTTTTAGACACAGACATGTCCGAATAATTTTTAGACATATCACATTCATTTTTCTAAATTATAGGATTATTTTATTATTGTATAGAAATAAACATCATAATGTAATAATTACAGGGTAATAAATGAAAGACTATTATCACCATTTTATATATAAAAAAAAGTATTTATTGATATAATTGATTTTTAATTCTTTTAAATGATAAATAATAATAATATTTAATTATAAAATGATAATAATTAGTCTCATACGAAGTTTTAATTAATTTATTTTTATTTTTTGTTTGGTTATTCCATGCAATCGTTTTTTAACATTTTATGTTTAATGATTTTTACGCATAATTATAGTAAATATGAATTTATGAACTTCTATGGTCAATCAAAAAAAATGAAAAATACTATTTAAATCTAATTTAATGACATAATTCAATGCACCCCTTTGATTGAAAGTAGACTTCTTCCAACATTGAAATTTACAATTAAAATAACAGTTACATTGAATTAAGTCATTGGTAATATTAATAAAAAAATAATTAAAATTTATTAATGTGTCCACCCTAAATTATTTTTTGGCTCTGTCCCTGGTGGTATTTTATTTTTGTGTTGGATGTATTGTGAGCCATTGGATTAAGTTTGATGAATTTAGATAAAATTTAGATCATTTAATTTAAAATAAATTCAATTGGAGTTGTTATTGTGTTTTTTTAAATTTAAGATAAAGACGTATGAGAAATAAGAGTGTAGAGTCTTACAATAGACTTTTTCATGGGCGGAAAAAGAAATTTAAGACTAACTGTAAACTGATAGATCAAAATTTTTGATATGATCTGAACCGTCTTCTATGTTGGGATTATGTTGTTCGTTGGATGTGTTTATGTTATGTCTCAGAATGATTTGAAGCTCTTTTTATCTTTTATATTTAGATTTAAATTTTATTATATATATATATATGTATGTGTGCGCACGCCTTTTTTCTGAAAAAAGGAAATATGGTTGGTGATGGCAATGATAAGCGATGGCTATTGGTGCAATAGTGGTGGTGATAGCAATGGCTGCGGTGGTGGTACCGATAAATATAAATTTAAGAAGTATTTTACATAAAAATGTATTTAGAGAAATATAATTTTTTCTGACCAAAAAAAACAAAAAAGAGAAATATATTTATTATTTTCCTTGTGTTTTATTTTTACTTTTATTTATAGACGGCGCGAGCAGAAAATCACCGACAACAGGTCATAGGTATAGGGTGTAAATTCTCACAAACAGGTTTAGAAACACCTCTCTCTCTCTCTCCCTCTCTGTAGATAGAGCCATTGATCTCTGCCCAGACTCCAAACCCTAGGCATCACCACAACGTCCTTCCTTTGATCAAATTGATTCACCAAGAATCGCACTTGTCGGTGTTGGCGTTTTGGAAGAGAACTCGATCGGAGTTTTGATATCTCAGGTTTGCTACTTCTAAGCGTTTATATGCATAAAAGTCTCTGCAATCGATAATTACTAATTTAGTGTTAGAAAGATCGATAAAGTAATCACCACCCATCGAATCCATGGACATATCTACGACGATGATCAGATTTCATCCCGTCAATTTTCCATGGTGGCTTTTTAGGGTTTCTCTTTTTAGGGGTTTTCTGTTTGGGGTTTCAATCGTGTGGCTTCTGTTTTGTATCTGTGCTGCCGAAACAACGGAGAGGAATCATGGGAAAGTTTATTTGGAACAGAAGGAATCAGATATTGTAGGAATATGGTTTTGATTGATGCATTGATTGGGGTTTTTTTCCCTGGAATGAATCGATTCAGCCATAGTGATGATCGGGTCTGATTCTTATGTTCTCCATGGCGGCTCTTTATGCTTACATTTTTGGATTTCCTGTTTATTTTTCTTTAATTTCTGGATTTGTCATAGTTTGAGGCAAGAGAATAAAGGCAGATATCCTTTTGGAAATGAGAAAATTGGGGATCAGAGATTTAGCTTGGAATTGGGATTTGATTAAGCGGGTTTCGTATGTTGAAGAAAGAATGATATTGGTTTAGATCAGCATTGTCTTTCTCCTTCCTCTTTATTGATTGTAGCTCTACATATGTTTTGTATATAGCATTACCATGGATATAAAGGCAGCCAGAAGAGTATCAGTGTATAAGCAATTAGGCGGAGAACGTCATGGACATGTTATGAAAAACAACAAAGTATGTTCCTATTGGCTTCAGGGTAGATGCAGCAGGAACCCATGCAGGTTCTTGCACCCAGAATTGTCGCCAATCCCACAACCATTTGTACAGTCTCATTCCACATGCGAAGATCACAGTGTTACGTCCAGATTGACTTGGAGGAATCCAAACTTCTCTAGCTCCAAGAATGCACCAAAGTGTGGAGCTGATTCTGGAGGTAAAAGTAGCTATCAAGAAGGTCAGCCAAATGTTTCCAAAATTGAAAGAGATGGAGGCAAAAGTACTCAAAAAACCCAACAAAAGTTGTGCAAGTTCTGGGTTATGGGCAACTGTGTCAAGAGTGATAATTGTGGAGACTTGCATTCGTGGTTTTATGGCAATGGTTTTACGATGTTGGCCAAGTTAGAAGGGCACAATAAGGTACTTGTTTGATAAGTGTTCTTGTTTTTGGCTAGTGTTATGGTTGACGTGCAGCTGTATGCATGTATTATAGATTTATTAGAAAAATTATGACTAATTTGTGCATTAATGGGAGTTTGGTAATAGGCTGTCATTGGGATCTCCCTCCCTTCTTGCTGCGATAAGCTCTTCTCTGCTAGCAATGATAAATCTGTGAGAATTTGGGACTGCAATACTGGTCAGGTTGGTGGTATGAGTTCAGTTGTTATTTTCTTGTGGATTAGATCTTTGGGTTCTCCCAAAATGATGATGTATGGTGTAATTTTTTCTGTGCAATGCAGTGTGCTGAGGTTGTTAAGCTTGAGGGCACAATTGGGACTTTGGTCAGTGAAGGTCCATGGGTGTTTGTGGGATTGTCAAATGCTGTTAAGGTAGTTTCTTTGGACTTGATAACATTAAACTGTTTTCACTGTCAAGTGATTTTGATTAAGATTGTCAACATAAGTAACATTTTTTTCAATTGCCATGTGATCTTGATTCAGTTGTTTTAGTCGCATTGTTAATGGTATGTTTCATTCATTGGGCCTCTGTTGGTGATTTTGTTAGGCATGGAACATTCAGTCTAATGTTGAACTCACTCTTAATGGACCAGTTGGGCAAGTTTACGCCTTGGTTGTGGGTAATGACATGCTTTTTGCCGGGACAGAGGTAACAACCATTAGAACTGTTGAATTGCTTCACTTCACAGTTCATATTTGCTTGTTAAAAGAGTTAAATGACTTGTGCATTTATTTATTTTCTTTATATCTTTGGCTTCAGGATGGCACCATACTAGCCTGGAAGTCCAGTTGTGAAACTAGTTGCCCTGAGGTGGCTGCAACTCTGAAGGGCCATAGTCGTGTTGTCCTCTCGCTCTTTGTTGGAGCCAATCGGCTCTACTCTGGTTCCATGGACAAGACAATAAGAGTATGTTGTTGTTATTCTGAAAATTGTTTCTGCTAATATGCCTTCATTTTGTTAGTTGTGTGAGAAAACCATCAACCTGATTCTCTAATCTAATCTAGGTTGTTTTACAATGATATGATACTCTTTGTAGGGATTAACATTAATCAGGTCTATGCACCAGTCTCTGGACTGGAAACTTTATATAGTACCCATCTCTGTGTGTGTCTCTGTCTGTTAAGTCCTCTTGGTTTATATGATGGAACTATTATCATCATGGCATGTTTTGGATTGTTGGTGCTCGATGCACTTGGTGCACATTATATATTCATGCAAGTGATGCACATTATTTTGGCACAATGTTCAGAGTCTTGTTTTATTTGAGTGATCCATGCCAATTTGGTTCGGATTTCAGATCACGTTTATCGGAATGATTGAAATCGAGGAATACAAGGAGAAAATTTGATCACAGAGAAAGAATGAATATAAATATATAAGAGAACTTTTTAGATCAACCTGGCAACTCCAGAATATCTTTGCTTGTGTCTGTTAATTTGATGTTTCAGAAATTGGGTTTCCAATATGTTGGTTCTTCAATTGTCAGGTATGTTTTACATCTCAATTTGTCGAAGGATTATTTATCTTCGTATTTTCTTTGTCCAGGTTTGGGATCTCCAAACTTTGCAGTGCATCCAGACGCTGGATGGGCATGCTAATGCTGTTATGTCTGTCCTTTGCTGGGATAGCTACTTAATATCTGGTTCCCTGGACAGTACAATTAAGGTTTGGGCTGCAACTGAAAGTGGGACATTGGAAGTAGTATATGAACGTATGGAAGATCATGTAAGTAATGTGACAACACTTCCTCATGTAAAGTTTTGCAATTTACATTGTATCTATATAACACATGTTACCTTTTGGTTATCAATTTTTTTTTTTTGCATGATACAGGGTGTTCTTGCATTGTGTGGGATATACGATGCTGATGCTAAGCCAATTCTTCTCTGCTCATGTAATGACAACGCTGTCCGCCTCTATGACTTGCCAACGTGAGTATTGGATAATATTCTTGTTTTTTTTCAATCCTCACCGTGAGAAGGTTAGGTCCTCTAGGTCTGCTGGTTAACATATTGTGTTGGTTCTAGATTTATTGAAAGGGGAAGAATATTTGCAAAGCGGGAAGTTCGTGCTATTCAAATAGGCCCTGGGGGGCTCTTTTTCACTGGAGATGCCACCGGGCAGGTGTTTGTTTGGAAATTGCTTGGAGATCCAAGTGCAGCGGCATCATGAAAACATATCTGCATAAAGAGTGTCCTTGTAAATTAATTAATTTTTTTTTGCAAATTAGAAGCGAAATGAAGGGTTCAGCCAAGGTCCATGTGTAACACTTTAACTCAGTTTTACTGGGAGCGAGTTATTTGAGAATGCCAATCTTACCATTTTAATTTTTCGCTTGAGTTGCTGCTTGTTTATTGGGGTTTTAAGTTACTTTATATTGGTAGAGAACTAAGATAAAATGTGATGAATATCATTGTGTAAGCCTCTTGGATCCTCTGGACATCACTCTGGAGTTAGAGCTGTCAATGTAACGTATTATGTTGTGTTCTTGTACCATCTAAGGCGTGTTGTGTTAAAATTTGCTTAATCAACACTCTATTTATAGTTCCAATCTATTTATAGTTATTGTTGGATTTGTGTTGATGAGCCATGGGCTGTGATTCTTTAGGTTTGTGTTATGTTTAGTCGTGTCCCTGAAATTACTTGGAACTTGACCCGTAGTACTGCGCAGTCTATCCCTCAGATTTTACGCCAAGAATAGATTCGCATTTGAAGGTTCACATATTTCCCTCCACTTTGTGCATTGAGTACGGTGTATAGTTTGTAACACATCATGAGTTGCTTGAAAACAAAACTTTTTTAAGATTTTTTTCTCCAATCCACTGAGAGGTAGAAAGTTGTTCTCAATGATGATGAAAATCTAGGGAAATTTCCTCAAGTGAATGGACTACTGGTTCTTGATGGCAAAGGTATGCCAAGTGCACACAATTTGCAAATAATGGCCCATGCTTCTTATCTTTAATCAACCCAATAATGATGGCCACGTTTAATTTTTATGCCCAAATAGGAGCCGAGGTGGGGTAACTGCTGCCCCAGCCCCTGAAAAAGTTACACAAAATTTCTTAAAATGTATAGAATATTTGTTACGTAACTATATTGATCTTGATCTCTTCGGACTATATTAAGAGGCAAAAATAACATACCGACCACGCTTAACTTGTAGGTCATTAGTATTCGATTCACCTTCCCTATCGTTTTGTTCCCTCCAATTCACTAAAAATTGGGTTTTAGTACCCTCTATAGGAGATGACAAGTTCTTGTCTTGATCTCTAAATTGTTCTTCCAATTGGTTTTGACCCTGATCAAGGAACCAATCTTACCTATTCATTTCTCATGATATTGAAACTTTTTTGTGAAATATGGATTTTCATTTCTCATGTTATTGACGTGACATAACTAAAATTGTCAGACGATTAGCGAAAAAATCTAGTGAGATTATTAATCTAACATGTTGACATCGAGCTTAAACATATAATCAAGTTTCAAAATTTTAAGGCTGAAAAAGAACGATACACAAAGTCGTTTTTGGCAGTTTGGTCCAAAAAGGAATGTAAGTCACATAACACAATCGTGGCCCCTTAAAATCTGCCACAACTAAACCTCAACACACCAACCTCATCCCCTTCAAAACACCTCTCTCTCTCTCTCTCTCTCTCTCTCTCTCTCTCTCTCTCTCTCTCTCTCTCTCTCTCTCTCATGGCTTCCAAACCCACAAGAAGGCCAATTACGACCTCCATATCCATAGCTGATGTAGCTTCATGGTACTGTGCTATTGCCCTCGTGTCCCTCATCTTCTTGAGCTCTTTCAGGGACGAGTATTTCCTCACACATGAGCCTTTCAGAGGGAATTATAAGCAGCTGGTAAACCGAGCCTGCGACGAAATCTACATCGTCGGAGAAGGGGAAACTCTTCACACCATAAGTGACAAGTGTGGTGACCCTTTTATAGTTGAGCAGAACCCTCATATTCATGACCCTGATGATGTTTTTCCTGGCCTTGTTATCAAGATCACCCCTTCAAAGTCCACCAAGTTTTATGCACTATCGTGAATTTTTTTTTTAATTAGGTTATTATGTTGTTTTCCCTCGTTTTTAGATTAATATAGTGTTTGGTTTATAAGTCTATGCTCTCTCTCTCTCTCTCCAAAAAAAACCACTGTTTGGCCTGAATTAGGTTAAAGTAATATACCTCTGTACGTACATGCATAACCATGGGAGTAATCTTATATCTTATGCAAACTGGGCTTGTTGTACATATCTAATAAGGTGTGCTTGCGCGTTCGTGTATCAAAGAAAATGATATCATGGCGATTGACCACTATATGAGGATATATATAGAGTGAGATCGTTAACTCTTGCACAACATTCTTGTCTACAGCGGGGTCTAGAAGAGGAAAAACAACTTTTTAAACACTTTTCTACTATTATTTCACTATGTTTTCATAATTTTTTGAAACTGGATCTCAAATCTGCCCTAGTTAATGTCACTTTTAACTGTCTTTGTTTATCTTGTAGTTCTCCATCATGAGTATTGCATCGGAGAGCGAGAGAGAATGACACTTAATTTGAACAAACATGTGAATCGTGGTAGCTTAAAACTGGAAAGGGATGATCATAACTTTGTCTTTCAATCTCTGGATCAAATTCATTGAATGCATGTTTGAAGTACGACACTATTTAGCCGAGTTCTTTAGTGAGTGTTGTCTAACAGTCCTACAAGTACGTCCGTTTCGGATGCATGTATCTTTTTAGGGTCATTCGACAAAGAGTAATGACATTAACACTTAAAAATTCGACTTATTTTGTTAACTTCTCCTACAAGCTATATTAAGGGGATGAAAATCAATGCGCCATCCCTATCTAACTTGACTTTCTTTATCATTTGTTGCCAGATGCATCACCCCAAGGGCATGTTTGTTTTCAGTATTAGATTTGGATGATTTTCATTTCGCTCCTATCCAATCATATACTATACTTGGTCTTAAACTTTTATCTCATCCTTCCCCTTACTTGTTTGTTCAATAGGTACTATAGTAAGTCCCACAAACAACCATCTATTTTATCACATCTTATATAACAAATATATTATTTTACACTTAACATTTTTCATTCTATTTTACTCTTAACCATCTATATAAGGAAAAAATTTAAAATAATTTTAAAAAAAAATTGGTAACACCATATGCTTAAATATAATATAAGGAAACAATTCAAAATAATTTTTTTTAAATTTTTTTTTTAAAAAAAAACAGTAACACCGTACCTCAAACATAATGCAGAAAAAAAATTCAAAATAACTTTTAAATTTTTTTTTAAAAAAAATGGTAATACCGTACGCTTAAACATAATACAAAGAAAATTTTCAAAATAATTTTTTTAAAAAAAAATTGGTGACACCGTACGCTTCAAAATAATTTTTTAAAAAAAAAATCGGTGACACCATACGCTTAAATATAATACAATTTTTATATGTGAACTCTTCACATAGAAGGATATTTGTGTCATTTTACTCGTTTATACCGTCCTTTCACTTATACCGGGAAGATAATACTAACTGATAGGTGGTATTACTTAATACCATATAGAAGACATTAAAATCACTGTTTACACCGGGTCGGTACTATGACTCAAAAAATAATATTAAACTAAAAATATTAAACAAACAAAATATAAAATAGACTCCACTTTCTATTACTCCAATACCACCCCCCTTACACCACCCATATCCTGGAAGCAAACAGCCCCAAGTCTCTAAAGCAAAAACGTGTTACATTTATCCAAGTGATGTGTCACAGATTAAGATCTAGAAATCTATTATCAATCTACCCCAATTATCAAACTTATTTATTAATTTACTGTCGTTTTCAACTTATTTACTAAACTACCGTTGTTTTAAAAGCGAATTTGACAAATCCGACTTCATGGGGAAAGTGAATTTGAAAAATCCGATTTCATTTGGAAAACGGATTTGACAAATTCAACTTTATATAGAGAATGCGGATTTGACAAATCCGACTTTATAAGGAAAGTGAACATACCAAATCTGACTTTATTTAGAAAGCAGACATATCAAATCCGTTTTTTAATATTTCATCTAATTTTCTTACTGGGATACCATCCGAAATTCTTGACTTTATATATTTTCTCCCTAAAAAATAAATCACTTATTTTTATTATATATTTAATTATTTAATATTTGATTAATTTGTAATTAATATATTTTAAAAAAATTTAATATAGGGGGATCGATTTTTTGGATGCTCGAATTTTATATTTTATCGTGCCTTCACGCACGGGTTATAACTAATAAATTTAGATAGAATCTATTAGTGAATTTTTAACGACTAATAAAAGTGAGTAATTTATTCACAAAGAATATAGAATCAGAAAGACCAAACGTATTCAATAAATAGTCAAATACTTTTTTGGCGATCAACACAATTATACATATAAAGGCTTGCACCTTGGTAAGTCTGCTTTTCATATAAAGACAGATTTGGTATGTCCGCTTTCCATATAAAGACAGATTTGGTATGTCCATTTTTCTTATGAAGTCATATTTATCAAAATCGCTTTTCAATTGAAGTTGAATTTATCAAATTCGCTTTCCAAATGAAGTCAGATTTGCCAAATTTGCTTTTAAAATAGCAATAATTTGATAAATAAGTTGAAAATGACAATAAATTGATAAATAAGTTTGATAAATAAGATATATTGGTAATAGATTCTAAGATCTAGCATCACCCTCACCCTCACCCACAAAAGGGGGTATCATTGTCCGCCCTTTACTTCTTTCAGATCGTGTCATAGACATCAACCTTATTGTCGGTTTTTGTTTTTTTTGGTCATAGGGAATTCTACAAGTACAACGGTTAAAAGATAGAGGAGAATGCATATAGGGTTGGAACAGTGCCTAAATTAGCAACATTAGAGAAAATCATATTAACTTTCAGTATATTTTACTTCAATTTGATGATCAAATTTGTATCCAGATCCCCACCAATATGTTTTATTCTTAATTCCCTTATTGTAGGACCATTTATCGATCATCTATCATCTTTAATTCTACGTCATCAATGTGATATCATCGTCCAAAAAAACCCATCAAATAAACAAGTCAAACTATAAAAACATCAATACCAAAAGCACACACGCCCCCACCCCTTTCCAAACTCCTCTCTCTCTCTCTCTCTCCTGGCCTCTTTTTGGCTTATTTAGGAGGAGAATATACATTGATCATCTTGGAGCATGTGATGATACCTCTAGGTTGTTAGAGAAGGAGAAACCCTTGAGTCAATCACAGAAAAGTGTGGCAGCCCATTTATAAGGGAGAATGAATGACCCTCATATCAATGGTCTAGATGAAGTCTTCCCTGGTGTGATTCTCAAAATTTTATACCCAGCATGTCTAGGAAGTTTTTGAAGCAATGAGTTGTATGTTCTTGTTATTAGAATTTTACAGCTAGGTTTGGTTCACTGACATCCCTTTATTTGTTATGAATTTCTTTTTTTGGGTAATAAGATGATTCCTATTAACCAAAACATATCCATGTACAAAACCACAATAACTCAGAGATGTGTTGGATTATACAAAGATGTGCTTTTACCTCCAACCCATGAGGTTGTACAAAAATATACCCAAAAGATAGTTATTTTCAAAGTATTTCTCAATCTCAAGTACTTGTAAAAAAAATAATTTGAAATGAAGTTTTTTAAATTAAAAAACGTCAATTAGAGTAACATTTCTAGGCAAAAATGTCAAATCAATTGACGTTTTTTGTGAAAAAATAAAAAGCATATTATATTACACCACTAAAAACGTCAATCACGTTTTTAGTGGAGGGGTTTGATACAAAAGTTTATGGGAGAATTATATTTAGATCTTTTAAAATTTGTCATTTAATCATTTAGACCCATGACATTTAAAATATTACACACAGATCCCTTAAAGTTAGTACACTCGTAACACTTAAACTTGCTGTAAATATATCTGTTAATAAATTATAATTAGTCCCCTGAAGTTTATAAGTATATAATACTTAGACCCCTTAAGTTTAAAATATTATATTTAAACACAAAATACTCCAATCAAAGATAGAATATCAAATATTTTAAATTTTACAATCAAAATTCATGTTCTATTGTATTATTTATTGAAATAAAATTAATTTTTTCTTAAAAAATAGTAATTAGTATACAATGATACTATCTACTGGAATAAAACTAAAAAAATCAAACAAGGGGTCTAAGTCATTCATAATAGAATANTGATCTTAAAAACGTCATGAAATGACGTTTTTAAAAGTGTCTGAATTTGAAAAATACTTTGAAAACAACTATCTTTTGGATATATTTTTATACAATCCCATGGATTGGAGTAAAAACTCGATTTTTAATAGGGTTTCACAGTTAGGTTTGGTTTGGTTCGGTTCATCTTTTTTTATTTTCCTAGTTTTGAGCTCTAGAAGATGTTTTTTATTAGGGTTTTACAATTTGGTTCGGTTCGGTTTATACAATAGCCTTATTTGTTTTGAACTTTATGTGCACATATACATATGATTGTCTGAATATTTGTACTCATGTATGCAAGAGACTATGAATTATGGATCCAACAAGTGCATATTTGTTCGAACATTGATACATACACACATACAAGGATTTAAATTTTGTTTTTTGTCTATTGAAATAACCGAAACATTTCTATTTTTGAAAAAATCGAAATGAATTAGTGACGGAAAATCAAAATTTTCATATTTCGGGTTTGTTTCGAGCAATGTTCTTCCATTTCCGAGCTTACCAAAACTAAATTTTGATCCTACATGCATGAATACATGGCATGGAAGTTTGAACAATACCAGATAGGAGAAACAATTGAGCTTATCCAACTACAATGTCTTGCAGTGATTCAACTGGTCTCGTCTTGGTCTTTAAAGCCTTTGCTCTGGTCTTTAAATCCTGTACACTGCAAAGGGTATTTAAGAAGGGAAAAAAAAAAAACAACTCAGTGTCCGAGACTATCCCTCTTACGAGATATAGACAGAGTCAAATGTAAACTTCATTTTACCCTCTTGAGAAACTTTGCAATTACATGAACGTTGAGAAATGAAAAGTAAAATAAAAAAAAATAGAAAGAATTTTTAAATTGATTCAGGAAAAAGTGGAGTTTGAAAATCACATTCACATATTTATTCTCATGCGCACTTGACATGGTCAATGTTTTCACTTGCTTTGTGACCACACTCCAAGAATTTTCCTATCCATGGAGTAGCAATTGCTTTGGAATAAAAAACAGAGCAAAACAAGAACAGGACAGAGCAAAACATCAATGTCATACCATCCTCTTGTGTATTCACTACAAGAGATTTTTGAGAATAGCGGGCGTTATAATCGCCGATAATGTCCTAATAAATGTCGGGATTTATCACTGTTGGCGTTTCTATTAAACGTCGTTGTTTCTGCCGTCGGTAAAACATAACGATGTTTAGTAAACGCCGGAAAAAGTAAAAAAAATATTGCATCTTTCAGGTGCCAAAACAAAAAATTTAAAACAAAAATATCGAGTGTCCAAGTCTTGATATGACAAAGANTTTTTTTTTTTTTTTTTTTTCTGAAGTTTTTGGTAGATTTTGCGAAGTTTAGTATGTGATTAACTATATTGTTTGATGTAACTGTGTTTGATACATTTTTTCCAACAAGAAGCTTGAGCCAAGTCCTGAACCTAATGGACCAAATGATGGAGACCCCTTTTCTCTCATCACCTCGTGCAATGGGCTTTGGATCGTTGAGAGGATGGAACGTAAAGGATGATAAGGACGCTCTGTACATTCGAATCGACATGCCTGGTGTAGACAAGGACAAGGTGAAGATGACGGTGGATTAAAACACTCTAATCGTGAAAGGGGAATACGAGAAGGAATCGGAGGATGAGCACGGGCGGATATAATTGGGTAGGCTGGAACTTCCTCCGAATGTGTACAAGCTTGATCAGATCAAGGNCACATATTTATTCTCATGCGCACTTGACATGGTCAATGTTTTCACTTGCTTTGTGATCACACTCCAAGAATTTTCCTATCCATGGAGTAGCANGAATATGAATTTTACATCTAAAATTCATATTCTATTATGTCATTTATTGAAATAAAATCAAAAATAAAAATTTAATTGTTTAAAAAAAATTATAGTTAGTATATAAATATACTATTTATTAGAATAAAAATAAAAATAAAATTAAACAAGGAGTCAAATTGCAATGAACATAATATCTTTTAACTTTAATTGGGGTAGTTTGATATTTTAATTTGGTCATTTAAACGACCANGCTTTGGAATAAAAAACAGAGCAAAACAAGAACAGGACAGAGCAAAACATCAATGTCATACCATCCTCTTGTGTATTCACTACAAGAGATTTTTGAGAATAGCGGGCGTTATAATCGNAGTATGTGATTAACTATATTGTTTGATGTAACTGTGTTTGATACATTTTTTCCAACAAGAAGCTTGAGCCAAGTCCTGAACCTAATGGACCAAATGATGGAGACCCCTTTTCTCTCATCACCTCGTGCAATGGGCTTTGGATCGTTGAGAGGATGGAACGTAAAGGATGATAAGGACGCTCTGTACATTCGAATCGACATGCCCGGTGTAGATAAGGACAAGGTGAAGATCACGGTGGATCAAAACACTCTAATCGTGAAAGGGGAAGACGAGAAGGAATCGGAGGAGGATGAACACAGGCGGATATAATCGGGTAGGCTGGAACTACCCCCGAATGTGTACAAGCTTGATCAGATCAAGGCTGAGATGAAGAATGGTGTTATGAAATTGATAGTTCCCAAGGTCAAGGAAGAAGAGAGGAAAGTTCATGAGGTCAAGGTAGAATAATTCTCCCATAAGCTTTTCTTAACTGACGTTTTGGCCCCCCTCCGCTAAAAACTTTAGTTCAACTGACGTTTTTTTAGTGCTGTTATATGCCTTTTATCTTCCCACAAAAAATGTCAGTTGGTTTGACATATTTGTCTAAAAACGTTACTCCAATTGACGTCTTTTGATCTTAAAAACGTCATGAAATGACGTTTTTAAAAGTGTCTGAATTTGAAAAATATTTTGAAAACAACTATCTTTTGGATATATTTTTATACAATCCCATGGATTGGAGTAAAAACTCGATTTTTAATAGGGCTTCACAGTTAGGTTTGGTTTGGTTCGGTTCATCTTTTTTTATTTTCCTAGTTTTGAGCTCTAGAAGATGTTTTTTATTAGGGTTTTACAATTTGGTTCGGTTCGGTTTATACAATAGCCTTATTTGTTTTGAACTTTATGTGCACATATACATATGATTGTCTGAATATTTGTACTCATGTATGCAAGAGACTATGAATTATGGATCCAACAAGTGCATATTTGTTCGAACATTGATACATACACACATACAAGGATTTAAATTTTGTTTTTTGTCTATTGAAATAACCGAAACATTTCTATTTTTGAAAAAATCGAAATGAATTAGTGACGGAAAATCAAAATTTTCATATTTCGGGTTTGTTTCGAGCAATGTTCTTCCATTTCCGAGCTTACCAAAACTAAATTTTGATCCTACATGCATGAATACATGCGTGGCATGGAAGTTTGAACAATACCAGATAGGAGAAACAATTGAGCTTATCCAACTACAATGTCTTGCAGCTATTCAACTGGTCTCGTCTTGGTCTTTAAAGCCTTTGCTCTGGTCTTTAAATTCTGTACACTGCAGAGGGTATTTAAGACGGAAAAAAAAAACAACAACTCAGTGTCTGAGACTATCACTCTTACGAGATATAGAGAGAGTCAAATGTAAACTTCATTTTACCCTCTCAAGAAACTTTGCAATTACATGAACGTCGAGAAATGAAAAGCAAAATAAAAAGAATTTTTAAATTGATTCAGGAAAAAGTGGAGTTTGAAAATCACATTCACATATTTATTCTCATGCGCACTTGACATGGTCAATGTTTTCACTTGCTTTGTGACCACACTCCAGGAATTTTCCTATCCATGGAGTAGGANCTTACAACGAAACTCGAAATTGGCCAAGCAGATAACCATATTCCTCCATAGTACATATTTTTGTCTTCAGACAAGGTACCAAATTAAAGGAAAGCTTTCCTAGATTCAGACAAGGTACCAAATTAAAGGAAAGCTTTCCTAGAGTCATGATGTTGTACCAGTCCCACCCATTTATTTCTTATGTCCCTAGCAAAATTGAGTAATGGCTTGTCAAAGTGGTGTGGAGAAAGATATGATTTTGACACTTACCTATATGAACAGTTATTCTTGTACTAGCTGGTAGTACAATTGTCATAGTTAATTTACTGTCCCAACCTTATCATTATTGTTAAGTTAAGATAATTAAAACAATATTAAAGATAAACAGAGAGTGGTCAAAACTTAATCTACCTCTCATTCATCACTTGTATTTATAGTTACCTTATAATAATATGAAAGACAGAATACACCCTCTTATATTTACATATAATATCTTAACACTTTTAACAATTTATATATACTACCCTAATACTCTTAACACTCCCTCTCAAGTTGGACTATATATATCATATAATCCAAGCTTGAAACAAATTGCTGTAAGACGTGTACGACTCAATTCTTTGGTAAATATATCTGCAAGCTGATTTTCAGATTTCACAAATAGAGTCGTAATCTCTCCGGCTACTATCTTGTCTCGAATAAAATGACAATCAATCTCAATATATTTGCTTCTCTCGTGAAACACTAGATTGACAGCGATATAGATAATTTCCTAGTTGTCACAGAACAACTGTAAATGAAGTTGAACTGGAAACTCAATTTTCTGAAGGAAGTATAGTAGTCAAGTCAACTCACTTGTCGTATGTGTCATTGCCCTATACTCAGTATCAACACTGGATCTTGCTACCACGGATTGTTTCTTGCTTTTCCATGAGACAACGTTACCTCCTAAGAAAGTACAATAATCAGTGGTTGATCTCCGATCATAAGGAGAGTCAGCCCAATCAGTATCTGAAAAACTTTCCACTCTAAGATGTCCATTAGCTTGATATAACAATCCAAGTCTAGGAGCATGTTTTAGATACCGCAGAATACGAGTAACTACCTCCCAATGTGGTACTCTAGGACACCCCATGAACTGACTTACTATACTGGCTGCATAGGAAATATCCGCTCGAGTAATAGTGAGATAATTGAGCTTCTCAACCAATCTGCGTTACCGACCCGGATTCTCAAACAGTACACCATCATCCATCAAAATTTGTTGATTCAGATCCGTAGGAATATCAATAGGTCTGCCATCCAACAAACCTGCTTCCTCAAGTATGTCAAGTACATATTTTCTCTAGGATAAACAAATACTCTGTTTAGATCAAACCACCTTAATGTCCAAGAAATACTTGAGTTTTTCCAAATCTTTAGTATGAAATCGATCTTGTAAGAATATTTTTAACTTGACAATCCCATCAGAATCATTTCCAGTAATCACCATATCATCTACATAGACCACCAATAAAACATATCCAACATTTGTCTGTCTATAAAACACAGAATGATCTGTTTGACATAAAAGAAAACCAAACTTTAAAACTGCATCTGAAAACTTACCAAATCATGCCCTCGATGGCTGCTTCAAACCATACAAAGATTTCTTTAACCGATATATATTCTTACCATACTCCCCCTAAGCAGTAAACGTAGGTGGCTACTCCATGTATACCTTTTCAACCAAGTCACCATGTATGAAGGCGTTCTTGACGTCTAACTGAATAAGGGTCAATCAAGATTAGAAGCCAAAGAAATCAATATATGAACAGAGAAAATTTTGACAACAAGAGAGAAAATCTCCTCATAATCAACACCATAAATCTGAGTAAAACCCTTTACAACAAGCCGGGTTTTGAGATGCTCCACAGAACCATCCAAATAAAATTTAACAGTATATACCCAGCGACAACCAACAGTTCATTTACCAGGAGATAAAATAATAAGATTCCAAGTTCCATTATGATGTAAGACATCCATTTCCTCCTCCATAACTTTCTTCTAACCCAGATCAGATAATGCATCCTGTAAATGCTTAAGAATAGATATAGTAGATAATTGAGAAGTAAAACAAGAGAAAACAGGAGACAAGACATCATATGAAATAAAATGAGCAATGAGATGATTAGTAACACACGAATGAATACCTTTTCAAATAGCAATAGATAAAGATTCTAAATTATTTGATGTAACAGGATCAGAAGGTGACAAGGAAGGCGGTACAGGCACCTCAGTCGATGGGTGAGGATGGTGAGAGTAGACACGGAGAGGTAAAGTAGATGGTAACATAGTGAGTAGCGAAATATCTGAAGATAAGGAAAGATATAGTGGTACAAGAGATGACCCAAAATCTAGATTCAAAGGCTGAGAAGGGGCTGGAAAATATGAAACAGATTCCTCAAACGTGACTTCGGCACTAGTAAAGTATCGGCGCGGAGAAGGATTATAGAAACGATACCCCTTCTGCGTGCGGGAGTAACCAAGAAATACACATTTGGTAACTCGAGGGTCAAGTTTGTCAAACCTAGGACCCAAATTGTGAACATAACAGATACATCCAAAAACTTTAGAAGTCAAAAAAAATAAGGACTTACCAGGAAAAAGAACAGAATATGGACTTTGCACATTTAATGCAGAGGATGACATACGATTAATAAGGTGACAAGCAGTAAGAACAACATCACTCCAAAAAGATCAAAAAATATTCATCTGGAATAATAGGGCATGTGTGACTTCCAACAAATGACCGTTTTTGCGTTCAGCAACACCATGCTGTGGAGAGGTGTAAGCACAAGAAGTCTCATGAATAATGTCAGTTTTACTAAGATAAGCTAAAAAAAGATCAGATTCATATTCTCAAGCATTATCGAAACGAAAAGTACATATACGACAGCCAAACTGAGTTTTTATTTCCTTACGAAAGGTTTTAAAAACAGAAAATAATTCAGACCGAGCTTTCATAACAAATAACCAAGTCACACAAGAATAGTCATCCACAAATGTCACAAAATAAGGATATTTATTAGATGAAATATCTTTTATTGGATTCCATACATCAGAATGTACTAATTCAAATGGATTAGACATATGATTATTGACTTTAGACTGAAATGACACACAATGATACTTACTAAGTTGACAAGCTTCATAAGATAAAGACAACACATAACTAAGATTGAGAACTTATAGCTTCAGATTCTGGAGAGAGGAATGTCCAAGACGATAATGCCATTGAAAATGAGATAACGAGATTTGTAAAGTCGGATATGTGAATCAAAGTCAAGGTAATATTGGCTACCAGCTTCTTGCCCCGTACCAATCTTCCTCTTCATCTTGAGATTTTGAAAGACACAAAAAGAGGGATAAAAAATTATAGAACAATTGAGAGTACGGATAATCTTGCTAATAAAAAGTCAACTAAAAGGAAACTAAGGAATAAATAACACAGAAGATAGAGACATATTAGGACTCAAGTGAGTAGTCCTCAGGCCTAAAACTTTAGAACAAGTACCACTAGCAAGAGTAACACTGCGTGTGAAAGTAGCAGACTGATAAGTAGAACAAATATCAGACGCACCAGTCATGTGGTCAGAAGCGCTAGAGTTTATGATCCAAGGACTACGAGTGAAGAACAATAAACAAGTGAAAAAAGTACCTGACTAAGCAAAAGTAGTAGT